GCTCGTTTGCGTTTTCTCCTGGGCGCCTGGAAAGAATAGCAGATTATGAAACGACCTGCTGTGTCAGGGTTTTCTGATTAGTTACCCCTTGAAGTTAGCTGCATAGTTAAAGTTTCAGTAGTGCTAAGATTTGTCAAGAAATGGCATAATTTGTCCCGAATTAAACTTGAGAAACTTACGGTGTTGGATGAGTTTCGCCATAATATCTGTGCTCGACGTAAAAGCATAAAGCACCGAAGAGCTCTGCCTGTACCATCCAATTCCAGCCTGATTCTGTTAACCAAAACATTTCATGCACGCTTCAAATAAAAATTGCTTAAACGATACTTTCGTCAATGAGCACTGGCCGAGCTGGGGACTCGCCGCCGATCATCAGAAACATGGGTCCATCTGGTTTGTAGAAAACGCTGTTTGTGTAATACTTCTGAAATTTATTAATTTGCAGCGTGTTTTCTTAAATGCATCATTCTGTTATAAGTCGAGTCCTCACCTGATTGAACATTCGTTTCTCGTTGATGTCGAAGTGGTCCAGCTTCTGCATGAACCATCGTTGCTTGACATTATCCGATAAACTTCTCGCTTTGTGTAAATGATCCTCGGTTAGCAGAAATCCATCTCGATGTCTTCCGTTTTTAAACCAAAACGTCGCTTGTAGTTGTTCCAACAAAATAAAGCAGTTTACAAGCGCTAGAACAAAAGCCACCTTCATTTTACGCTACAGTTTCTGTACGATGCATCAGCAGCAATACAACGTTTGAAGGACCGTTACAAGTTTTATCTCCAAAGTTAAATACCAGTTCCTAGCTTTCTTATCACTTGTGACAACGTTTGCTGCTTCAACGACACTTTTTTGGTTTTTATCATATTCGAAAGCTCTGCAAGCTTCGTTGGAATATTTTTAGTCGCTATTAGGCGACTGTTTTCCCATAGTGAAGGTGGAGAACTTCGTCGTGAACGCATGTAAAGCTTTCAGTGGACATTATTTTAAGACACATTGCATTTGGAACCACTTTACTCTTTTGCATAAAATTTTTGATATCATACTTTAGGGTGTCATCAAATGCTTCCGGAATTGAGGAACATATTTCTGATCGTACCAATGACAGTTTCGTCTTTTCAAGACTACGTTGATGGAACATTCACACTGCAGTTTTTACCCGCAAGGCAGAATGGTTCTTGCCGGCAACGGTGACGCCGCCTAATTATTATTTTCAACATTGTGTAAGACAATAACGTGTTTCAGCAACATGCTAATTATTAACATTAATCATGGCTGGTGACGCCGACACTTTCTGGTTCGAATGGCTTCTCATATTCCCTTCTTTTCTCTGCTCTCAGCAGTCCTTGAAATAGATTAGTTTCTACTAAAAGTTATCCATCAACAATTAGTTATCAGTCAACAACAGTAACTTACGAGATACTCGTATTCATTCAACGAAGCAAGGCACGATAGTCCTACTGACCTTGCCTTGGCTTAAAACCACGGAGATAAACTTAAAGTGCTTGTAGATATTCTGCTACAGCAGACTAGAAGGAAACGGATCCAAAGTTAATTATGAAAGGATGTTCGCTTCTTTACAATTCTTCACCGTAACTTTAAATCTGGTCTGGGAAGAGTCATTCGTTATTTCACCATGATTCATCTTTTTTTCCATTTGTATGGCAGACGTTCGCGACTACCCCAGCGATTAGAAAAACTATACTTTACCGTACTCTACTCAAATCTCGGCATCTGGTTGCCAAAGCAGCGGAGAAAGCAAATGACTATGCGAAAGACCTTATCCTATGACAAAGTACAGTTGTAAATTTTTTCCATAGGAATTATTTTTATGCTAAAACCTAGTCATGGACTCTGAGACGAACGGATGACATGGTCATAGGCCACCGGGAGATTAAATACTTAAGTGCACTATAACTGTTTGTAAGATGGCCATCCAGGCTCCCCGTGGGCTCTATGCTGGTCGAGTTGCGGATTTTGTCAACTCTAAGCAGAGGGATAATTGCAGCAGCTATTATCTATAGAGAAAAATGAAATAAATTTCACCGGGTGCCGCTTTTCATTGTGTTCAGCGAACTTGGCCTGCCTTCTGGCCGTGCTATTCAACTTTGGACATGAACCTCCGATGATTTGAGGCAGCGGAAGTGCGTTATTGCTAAACTAAAATTCCATTGTCAGTTAACGTCCACGCGCTTCATTTAATATTCCTCAAAGCTTAGTGGCGCGTTGCCTGTAGACCTTCGATGCTTGAATAATACTGTCATTCAATTGAACCATCACCTTGATGAATAGCAGACCGTCGCGGAGCCGGCATCACAAATCCGGCAGAAACAAGTAAGTATGACTACAAACCCAGACAAACGAAGTATAAACAACCGGCAGTATCAATTCGGGAAGAAAGCATGATGAAGACCTTCCAACGTATCGTCTGTCCTCTTGTCTGGGAAAGCGATTCACAGGATACTCGGAAAGGAGACGCAAATGATTAGAAATTGAGAGAAAACCTCATTAATGCTAATTTGACCGCTAGGGTATGGTAACTTTTGAGCGAGAAAAAACAAAAAGATGCATTTGCCGCCAGCTTTTGGAAGAGTGCATGAAATCTGTCACTATCGTTCTAGACGTCTAAAATTTTCATGTCGTCCTGCGTTTCAGATCCATCCTGTTCGCTTTAGACTGCATGAAATATTTTGCTTCTGAAAAGCTTATAGAGGTGTAAGTGCAAGTTGCTTATCTAGTTCTAAGCCTTAAGTAGTAGTGTCGGGTCTATATGGCATAAATGATAATTTTACTGACCAAACTTAATATATAAAGAATTCATAGAGGAACGAAGATCCAATGTAATCTCCTAATTTGTTTATCTCTTCTTTTTAGTGCTGCTGAAGTCATCGAAAGCACACATAGTCAATCAAAATATCAGGTTTGACCTGTGGCGAATGTGGATGTCTTGAAAAGATGTCTCATTGATCCGTACTTTTTATTGTTCCTCCATAACGTGGTGATATATCTAAGAAAAAATTTATTTTTAAAATTCACTATATTAGACGAGTCGCTGGCCTTACGCGTCTCGACATGGTCCGGAATAGTGACATCCGGAAGAGCCTTGGA